ATTATGCAAATACCAAATTCTCACAAAAATGTGAATGAATAAAATCATCTTTTACTAACAAGATAAACCATGTAAGTTGAGGTTTTTAGAGAAAAACAGCAGCCAAAGTTCCTACTACAAATAACGGTTTTCGCAAGTGATATAACAGACTGTCTTTGTAGACCAACACAACTACCATTACATATATTAGACTAATATATGGGTTTTAACATTTCTCGCCCACATTTGGTCCAACCATACCCACAACAAATAGCATAGAAGATAACACTACCATTGGAACAACTTTCTAGCCTTCATGAAAAGTGAATCAACCTAGTCCAAATTTCCCAAAAACCAGGAAACAAGAAGAAACAGCAGAAGAGAGAAACAAAACTAGGAATCAACAATGAGAATCAATCAAAATCAGTAAATATATACAGTAAGTTCATGATGGAGTTATGGAAATTAAACCAAAGAGAATCAATCAAAATCCGTAAACATATACAGTTGAATGGCACTTACATTCTGAGAGTTTGCATCACTTCCTTCACTCGTACCTTCACTTGCACTCTCGGCACTGCAGATCAAAATGATTCCAAATGTTTTAGCTTTTCACTGACAAGTTTATCCGGCACTAAGAACAAATAAACTGAAATACAAGCTCAAATAAGATTATCTAAGTGCCATCAAAGCCCATCCACAATGGTGCATGCCACAAGTCAAACAAGTCTCAGACTCACAGAACATGAAATTATTTTGGTCTCCAATAACCCAAAATCCAACCATTAAATAATTTTGGATAATGTGAAGGAGAATAAATCTCTCCACGAACTTAATGCAGGGAAAGCTTCAAGCAATGCTTCACTTCCAATTCCCAATGAACTCTGCTAATTGTATTACAAAATCTTGGTTCCTCTCCTTACTTTCCTTTCTGTGCAAGCCCACTAGAAGTTCTCCTCCCCCAATAAGGCATAAAGGGAATCTAAAAACTGCATTTCACTCACAGATCGTTCACCATGGAACTTTACATGCCTTTTGGAATAAACTCCATTAGTAGATGGCCCTGATGTTTTCACAAGCTCATTGTTCTTTCCCGTAATCATGTTCAAACTGCCCAAACTTCCTTTTGATCTTTTAATGGGCAATTTTTCCTTCAAATCAGATGGCCTACCATCTGCCTCCATGCTGGCAGGAGCATTTCCCTACATGCAAACTTAGAAGTTACTATCTATACAGACATACGGCAATCTTAAGCCTACTCCAGAGGAGGAAAAAACTTATACAAGACACAGTAGCATGAGAAACTCACAGAAGCCTCAGCAATGCCATTTGGAGAAGGCATAGCAAAAGGACTGAAAGAATAAGAACCCTGATTGAAATTAGAATACAATAGACCGTTAGCTTCTGTCAGATGATGAAGAAAAATAAATATTTTATGAGCTACAACTGAAGCTGATGGATAAGAAAATACCGGAGGCATAGAAGGGTGAGCATATACACCATGGGGATACATTGCAACATAAGGATGAGGTGGGGTTCCATAAGGAGGCATAATGTGCTGCAACCAAAATCTTACACTTAAAACACCACCCTTGACCCGCCACAAGGAGACTTAAAACAAGTAGAAAAACATATTCAAATAATAAATATCAAAATAGATTAGGTTCTTTTTTTCATTTTAGAAAAAGAAAGGATAGCAAATTCTCATTATAAGTCTTTTAGCTCCAGCAGAAGAAGTTAGAAGAGATCGTTTCTGTTGCATGAGTTACCATGAATAAATGAACAAGAATTTATAGCACCACTTTTTACACAATAGAATGAATAATACAGTACTATAATTTCCCTTCCTGTAACCTTATTTTACAGCATAACTCTAGATGTTTAAGTTCAAGGATGTTTCACTGACAGTTTCTCAAACCAAAACATGCTTTCTTAAAACTATTCCAGCCAAGGCCACATCCAGTCTTAAACACAATAGTCAAACTAAATTCAAGCCTTACTCAACTCTTTTTCAATATTTAAAATAACTATCCGCAATATCAACCAAAAGTTACACGGATTTCTTATTACTTTAGGTTCCAAGGAATGCCTAAGATCAATCTGATCACTAAAATTTCGGCAATTCAATAACAGCACGAGAATTAGTTCTGGCAACCACGTTCAAGCATCAAAAATAAAATACCAATTCGGAAACACAGATACCTGAACCCCCCACATATATGGGTGAGCTTGGGGACTTGATGCCAAGAAACCATGTGGTGGTATAGGAGAATATGCCTGTTAGAAAGGGCAAATATGCAACAAAAATAATCAATTACATGGACGCATAATATAAATATCCAAATATAGAAGAATTTCTCCACGGAACCTGAAATCCCGACCAATCGGGGTTTACAGTGCCGGTGCTAGTGGTTGATGCCTGCTCCTGAAAAACATAAATGTATCTTAAATAGAAAACTAAAAATGCAATTTGATATTAACTTTAAATCAATACAAAAAGCCTTAATTCAACAAAAGAGACAACTATACCTGTGTGGTAGTAGCAGCAGGGGGTGTCTTAGCCTCCTTTTCTTTTGCTGCTTTATCCATTTCACTGCTCCCCATGATTATATTTACTAGTTTCTATGAGCCCTCAAAACCATCCTACAATATCCACATCACCGTCATCACATACACTTCTTACCTATTGAAAATGACAAATTAATTCAAATTGCACCCACGATTTAAATTTCAAATCTATGACTTAATCCAATTTACAGGAAATTCAAATAAGTCCTAAACGCATTAAAATTTACTGCATTCACCAAGATTGACTAAAAAATTTCCTTGATGCGTTCCCAAAAAAAGAAGAAAGCTGAGATTTTATCAAAATTTGAATGCTTCCTCTATTTTCCTATATTTACTCAACTTCACAAACCGACTAGCATACGTATTCACTCACATACAACACATTATAACATGCCCCAATTTATGACACAAAGCTGAGGAAAACGCATCAACTAAAATAATCCAACCCTATTGCAATCAGATCAAATTTCAAGCTCCAACATGCAAAAAAATAAAACGAAAAATAACTAATGAGTTTAATCAAAAACAAGAAAACCAAGTGTTATAACCGACAAAGCTGATACAATACAGTTAAGAATTATATTTACCGATTTTTCCAAAGACAATATGAAGATATTGCGATGAAAATTCCGTAATCCGATAATTAAACCGATGGCGTTCGAGCTGAGGATGAAGAACGAAAGGGAGACAGCGAGTTTTGATTCTTTGGTGGGAGGGGGCACGGAGGTCAGTGACGTAAAAGATTGGGGCAAAATTGAGAAACAAAAAGCCGGTGATTTTGTAGAAACTGAATAGATTGAAAATTTGGAAGACGATCAGAGTGGCGAAGATGATTTTAGGGTTCGTTTTTGGTGCAGAGATGGAGAATGAGAGGGTTCACGGAGCGGAATCTGTGGGTGATCGTACGGTAGTCGAAATTTTTTTTTCCTTTTTTCTCACCTTCTGACATTTTGCGTTCAAGGTTGAAATACCCTTTCTACCCCTTTCTTATTGTTTTCTATTATTTATTTAATACCGCGATAATCATGACGCAAAAAAGATGGACGGCGAAGATATGTATGGTTCCTAGCTCCAATTATATGATAAACTTTTCAGTATAGAAAAATTTGTTATTTGTTAAAATACTTAGAAATATTGTTTTATACTATATTGAATAATATACTAATATTACCATATGTTATTATAATCATATAAATAATAATAATAAATCTTATGTTTAAGTGAACAAAAATTTTACATAAATGTAAGTATTGATAATAAAATATAAAATGATATTATTTTTTAATCTAATAAAATATATTAATGCTATCTTATTGAAGTGAATTAAAAAAATTATATTAATTTTATAATTGAATAATTTGAACATACCAATTGATTATTTCTTTATGAGTTAATTTTTTTTATGAATAAAAAGGTTAAATAAGATTTTTAATCAGTTGTGTTTAGTCTAAATAAAAGAATATAATTATTATAAAATATTTATTTTGCCAAATACGTAATAAATTTATTGAGTTTTAATTAAATTTAATCATCATAATTTTTTCAGCGTACTTTGTATATATATTTGTGTATTTAAATATAGTATCATATATAAACATAATTATATATTTATTATATATTATATACCATTTATATATTTATATGTATAAACATTAATGCACATATAATAATTTACATTAAATTTCTTTTTTAATCAATTTTATATTTTTTAAGTAACCATAACTATTTAACCAAACATATTATTTGTTTAAGTCTTGTTTACTTTTGGCCTTTTCTTTCTCTATTATCTCTATCATACTTCTATTGTTATTATATCTATATATTTTTCTTAGATAATTTAATTTTGGCTACAAGTATAAACTTAGTTTGTATTGTGTTTAAGGTTCATAATAGTATGTTTTGCTTATCATGATCATCTTCTGGCATACTAAAACCCTTTACAAAATGAAAGTCATCAACATTGTATTTTTAATGCATAGTAATCTAGTGCGAGAGATGAAGAATGTCCATGTATGGTTGACTCTTTATATAAAAAGAAGTTTTTTAACTTTAGGGCTATATTATAAATGATGAAGTAAAATCCACTAGAGGTTTTATTCTAAGGTAATGGAGCAAATAAATGTTATTATTGATATTCTGATCATTGAATAAGGTAAATTAGGTAGTAAATTACGTTATATGGTATTTTGACCAGGTGGTGATTTGTCGTAAATAGATTAATGAGAATGAGCACTATTTGTAACTAAGATATGGGCTAGGATATACGACTTGTTGAATTATATGGAATTAATAGTCAAGATTTGTATAGGGAAGCTGAGTGAACTTATAAAGATTGATACATAATTTTATGCAAGTTCAAGGTTATATATGTATAAAGATCCAATTGTCCTTCATACATTTTTAAAAGTTGGGACTCAACCATAATGGACCTTTTTTAAATATACAAAACTTTCATACTTTATGCTACACTTATGGTTTTTTAGGATATAATTAAAGGTCCTGTGTTGTTTGTGAGCATGGTAACGGACGTATTCAGAACGATATACAAATAAGCTTTAGGTATTGCCTTTACATTTGCTGCAGTTGGTTAGTACTAGTAGAAAAGAGATGCAATAACAATGCACTAATGCTAAAAACTCAAATAACTACTATAATCTCAACATAAAATGAAGATATAGAAATATGATTTTTATTATTTTATTTTTTAGCTAATCGATAGAAGAACAATAAATAAATAAAATCCAAGTAGGAAAGACTAATGTTCAATCAAGCGTACTTAGGCAGTATCACAGTGGTCGAGGTAGAGAAGTTATTCCAAATCATTAGGTCGACGGAGTCTACTGATACCAAAAGGGATATGATGGGCTTGGTAAGCCAACTAATCATCTCACATGTTACACCTCTTTATGTATGTGGTGGATTTTGACATTTCAAACTTAGGCCAATAATCCCTAATTTTAAGCTCGATGTCCACATAAAGAGTTTTACGTTAGACTTATCTCTCCATCTAGTATTCAAAGTATAGAGAATCAACCCTGATAATAAGGTTCTTAATGTTGGGCTCTTAAACAAGTTAAATACTAATAAGGGCTCCATGTAACTTTGCATCTATATGATTACCTTACTAATATGGCACATTAAACATGTGACCCAATTACCTTTGTTATCTTTAATCAGGCCTCTAACTATCGTTGCCACATAAGTACCAATTATAAAGTTTTTCATGTTAAGCTTGAACCAGCCTTCAGGGATTGTCTTATAATCTACCTAAAGGAATTTATTGAGTTCGTAATGGTCATAACAAGGCTTTTCCCAATGCAAGCATTATGGGTTTCAAGCATGTTATGGATGAGCTCTTAGGTGGTCAAGGTCTCGATGTTCTAGCCATCATGATATATGAACTTGTTGCAGCTTTCTCTATAGTGTTCAAGCAGTAATGGTAAAATATCTATCCAGTTAGTGATCTAATAAGTGTAAATCTTAGTCTTCGAATTCCATTGGTCCACTTACCAAGAGAAAGAAAAAAATTATCAGTAAATATGACACTAATCGATCCTTTCATACCTGATGGGACATTTTATAATTTTTAATTGCATGAAGAACATCATCTTTGGTGTTATTGTAGCAAGAGCACTAGTCATTGCTCGTGATATGGCATTAAAATTATTCAACATCAGTCAACAACCTATTGGATACGAGAAGCCACATAAGCAATCTAACCAACTAAGCACATGTGTTCTTCAAATCTTTTTTCAATGAATACTGAGAAGTTAGGGATTAGGCCCAGTGAGATAGTCTAAGCGCATTTAGCAGTGAGGATCCTATCGCTCAAATAGTTTTGTAACATCTTATTACTAATTATGTTGTCCATCACAACCCCTAATGTGAGATATTTCTTGGCAACCCTAATGGGGAGGAAACTTGAAAAACTCCCCCCACTTCAATTTGAAAGTCGATTAATTATAATTATAAATTATATTAAAATTAAATTACTTTAAAATATTTTATTAAATACATAATAAAATAGTATTAAAATTAAAATTATCCAATTAAAATTTTGTTTAGATTACAACTATGTAATCAATTAAACGTTATAATTCTGCCACATAAAAATCTAGTTAATGTTATTTTGGGCATATTTGGAGATGAACTAGATAAATCTGCCAGCATTAGTTATGGGTACAATTCTAGCATCTAAACGACATCGTCCAACTAACATTGCTCCTCAAAATTGCTCTAGAAAGGCGCAATTGTTGCAAGTAGTGGTAGTTTAAGAAAAGGATGAACACTAGATCGTGAAGCTATGATGCTCAGTTCCCGTGCATGTTTTTAAAATTTTTAAATATATAAACCCTCAATATTTCGTCTTTAGAAGCTGTTGCTTTTCGAAAATGGCAATAAGCTCAGACCTAGGGCAATCACAAGAAGTAGCATGCCACAAACCCCTAACAAAAATTAAATTCAAAGACTTAAACTTCAAGTCAGCTCTAAAGAATGTGAAGAAAGCCCATCAGATCTCCCCAAACATGGAGGGCTTATCTTCAATGCTCACAACCTTCAAAATCATCAATGTTTCCTCAAAAGTTGTTTTAAGAACAACACCTGATTGGTATAAAATTCTTTGGGTAGAGCCCTTCTCTCATATTAGTATAATTAAGAAATAGTATAAGAAACTTGCGTTGGTCTTACACCCTGATAAAAATACACACCTAGGATATGAAGAGGCGTTTAAACTTATGGGGGAGGGTTTTGTGATTTTTTTTGATAGAATTAGGATGAAAGAATATGATATGACGCTTAAAATTAGAATTCGGGAGGAAAAAGTTAATGAGGTTGAGACAAGTGTGGTGGAGACATTTTGGACCGATTGTTCGAGGTGTAGGTTGTTGCATCAGTTTGACAATAAGTATTTGAGGCATAACTTGGTATGCCCTAGTTGCAAGAGAAGTTTTAGGGCTGTGGAAGTTAAGAGTGGAAATGGTGGTGATCATAATAAGAATAAAAGTGGGCATAAGGAGAGGATTAAAAGGTTGAAGAGAAAAATAGATAGTAGTGAATGATTTTAGAATACGAGTTTAGAAAGTAAAATGGCTAAAGAGGGTTTGGGAGGAGACAATAATGGTATTAGTGGTGGCTGTGAAAACAAATATCAAGGTTCATGGAAGGAGGAGGAGGTTAGTGGAGTGGGCGGTCAATGGGCTAGGAGAAATTGAGAAGTGGGGGATTGAGAAAGAGAACGAGTATGATTAGGGAAGTGTTAGCAAGTTTTGGAGAAAAGAGGGTAGAAGTTAAGGATGTGACAGATAGGTTAAAGAAGTCCGCAGAAATTGGGGAAAAAATGATGACTTTGGCAGGAATAAAGAGTGAAATGAGGCGAAAAGAAAGGGAGATAGGTGAAGGAGAAAATGAGGGGTATAGATAGGAGATATTAGAAAGTAGAGATTCGGTGATTGATGAAGAGTATATTTTGAAGAATAGGATTTCTCAGGTTGAGAGGCAAGAAGTTCAAAAAAACAATAGAAATGCAGTAGTTATGAGTCGTAAAGCTTTAAAGAAGATTGTGGATTCTGAAATTGAGACTCGGGGGGCACTTAAAAGTAGTGTAAAATCGGAGGTTATCAAGTGATGAGCTTCAGGTAAAAAAAATAGGTTTAGAAATTGTGAATTCTCATAATTTAGGGGATGGGAATTTTGAGATTATAGTGGAGGATTCAGATTTTTACGACTTCGATAAAGATAGAGTAGAGAGAAGCTTTAGCAAAGGACGAGTATTCGTTGTTTATGATGACCATGATGGAATGCCTAGGCATTATTTTTTATTGATGAAATTGTTTCACTGAACCTTTTTGAGGTAAAAATTAGTTGGTTGGATCTTCAGAACCATGGTGATGAAGCATTGATTTGTTTGGAAAAAATGGGATATTATATCCCTTGTGGAAGA